TGTAATACTTGTAACTTATTTTTTTTAATACTGGTGAAGATTTCCAGATTTATGCTGAGTGTAGTAACAGGCCTCTATTTTCTGTTCTCAATTTTAGAGAAATGCATATAAAGTCAGTGTTACTTCTGATACAGTTTTTTGTTTGTTTGTTTGGGCAGTCTTTTCATCATACAAATGTCTTTTTCTTCAGTATGAACTGTTGGTGTCCTCTAAAGTTTTAGCATTTGTTAAAGTTCATCTTACTTGGGAGGCTTTGCTTCAAAATATTTCTGATGCACTGAGAGACACAAATCCCTGGTGCATGTTTCCCATTTTAAAGATATTTACAGGTCTTAATGAGTATGAATTTTCTGGTGTCTAAAAAGATGTGACTTGTGGCTGAAAGCTTTTCCACATTCACTACATTGATAATACTTTTTACCTGTGTGTATTCTCAAATGCAGGGCTAGGGTTGAGAACTGTGAGAAAGTTTTCCCACATTCATTGCAATCGTAAGGCTTCTCACCTGTATGGCTTCTCACATGCACCGTGAGAGAAGAGCTCTGAGAGAAGGCTTTTCCACATAAATTGCATTCATAGGGTTTATTACCTGAATGAATTCTCACATGTACAATAAGTGATGTTCATTGAGAGAGGGCTTTTCCACATTCATCACATTCATAGGGTTTCTCTCCAGTGTGAATGTTTTGATGCTTTATGAGGTACTTCTTCTGGCCAAAAGCTGTTCCACATTCATTACATTTAAAAGGGTTTTCTCCAGTGTGAATTTTCTCATGCTCAGTAAGTTTGATTTGCCGCTAAACGTTTTCCCACACTGTTTATGTATGAAAGGCTTCTCTCCAGTGTGAGTTCTCTGGTGTCTGATGAGGTTTGACTTCTGAATGAAAGTTTTCCCACAATATTTATACTCAAAAGGTTTCTCTCCAGTGTAAATTTCCTGATGGGTAAGGAGGTTCTCCTTCTGACTGAAGGACTTTCCACAATCATTACATTCAGAAAGCTTCTCTCCAGTATGGGTATTCTGATGTTTAATAACATACTGCTTTTAGCTAAAAGCTTTCTCACATTCATTACATTCAGAAGATTTCTCTCTAGTATGAAAATGCTCATGCTCAGTGAGATTGCATTTGTCGCTGAAGGTTTTCCCACATACCTTACAGGCAAAGGGGTTTTCCCCACTACAATTTCTTTGCTGACTGAAGTGTGACATTGGAATGGAAGCTTTCCCACATTCACAAGATATCTCTCTGGTATGAATTTTTTGATGAATGAGGATTTACTTTTGGCTGAAGATATTTCCACATTTCTTGCATTTATAAAGCTTCCATATGTATGACCTCTCAAATGCAGAATAAGGGATAAAGTCTGAGAGATAATTTTATCATACGTAGCACACTCAAAGTTTCTCTCCAGTACAAAATTCTAATATTCAGTGACAGTATGCTGTACTCACTGGTTTTCTCCAACATGAATTTCCCTTGCTCAATGAGATGTCATCTAGCTAATGGCTTTTCAATATTCCTTAGAAGCACAGGGTATCTCTTCAGCATGACTTCTCAGTTCAGTGAGACATGTGAATAAATGTTTACCCATATTCAGTAAATTGATAGGATTTCTCTCCAATAAGGAATGCTCTGCTATCAGACAGGGTACAAAGGAATTTCCACACTGATTCACAAGGGGCTATTATCACAAGGAGCAAACTCTGGTAGAGAACTTCCAAATTAATAAAATTGCTGATTCTTTTCTACACAGCTTTCCTCATAATGAAACCTAAATTATCTTTCCAAATCAAAGTTTGAAAAAGGCGCTGCCTTAAGAGAAATAAGGTCTGTGAGGAAAGGAAGGATTTTCCTAATTTTCTTATAGTCACTGTTAGCTCCCATCAGTGTTTATTGGAGAAGGATGTAACTTGCCTCCTAAGTCTTGATGTTTCTTTATCTGTTCATTATCTTCTCAGGATTATTCTAGACAGACTCTTTCCATTTCTTTCTCCACCATCCAGTTTGTCTTCTTCAGTGGAAGATTGTGTCCATTTTGGGCTCTTTAAAACCTGCTACTGGGGAAAATGACAGCACTAAACTGTTATTGCTTGACCAAAGTACCATTCTGGAATTCAGGATGAGCCCCCTGGGGCCCCTGGGCCATCTGAAGGATGAGAAAGGTGTACTTTCCAGAGATGCGCAGGGAAGTAGTCCTCCTACTTTCGTGCCATGTGTACCGAGAGGCCATACCAACCCACAGACAAAGACCAAAATGTCCTGCCTAACAACTTTGTATGCCAGCCTGAGCACCTCATGTTCTCAGAGCTGGAACCACTTGTTTTTGTGGCTTGCCTCAGGAGCTGTTGTTCTCAGACCTGCCTTGCCTTGCTCTGACATGTGTGATAAATTTCCAGCTTCAGCTGCCCCCTAATCAGGCTCCCCATTCCCATCCTCCCTCCTACTACTAGCACAATGGCAGCCAGGCACCCAGGGGGCCTGGGGTGTGCAGGCCTGAGGAGTCAGCCTGTTTGGCACTGAGCAAACAAGCAAACAAAAAAGACACAGAACCTAATAGTTTGGAGAATGAGTAGCACACTTGACTCTTTGATCAAAATGTGTTTTATAGCATTCATGGACATCCATTCATTTAATTACTATCTACTGTGGTTATGTGATGTTCCTCCCAGCATTGTTCTAGGTGTTTTGCTGGCATGAAAACTTAGCCTAGTGAGACTTGAGAACCACAGAGCCTACAAGGGACACATAAGAGAACCACAGATCTAACAAGGGATACATAAGAGTGAATAAAGAAAATGGTGGTGAGTAGTGCTCTCTAGACCATTACCATAAGGCAAAGGGATAGCATGGTGGATATGTTGCTAGATCCCTAACCAAGGTGAAAGAATAACCTGGAAGGAACCATGTAAGCTGAGTTCTAAAGGTAAGAGAGAGGCAAACTGGGAATGTTGGGGAAGAAGAAACAAAAGGTGATATAAAGGCTTTGGGCTCTTGGCTTCTGGGAGCAGGGGAAATGGAACAGAGGCATTGGCGTGGAGAAGATGGAGGTGGAGTAGAGTGAACATGGATGGTGGTGCAAATGTCACCCATAATGTAGCATATACATGCCCAGGAGGGATTTTAGCTCTTTGGGTGGGATGGGAGCTGAGTCTATGTAGCTCTACTTGGCTTAAGAGCAATAGAAGATGTGATGGGAAGCAGGACCTGGTATAAAGGACCCCTATAGTCGTGCACATAAAAGCCCTGGGGACTGGCCCTTGGATATGTCAAGGCAATGGAGAAGAGAGGGCACATATAGATTTATTTTTAGTTTGAGGGGTTGTGGAGGGCACAAGAGAGGAATGAGCAACTGTTAGACAGGTTCTACTAACCTGTGTATTGTTGGGTAATAGTTTAACCCCAAGTAAGTTCTCTTGAGCACACTATAGGAAATGTAGCAAGACACAGGTGGACCCCCCCTGCCACACCCATGGATTAGAGTAAGGGGTAGGTCACATCCATCTTTGACATCAAATTTAGTTTCTTTGGGTGATATATGAACATTTCTTTGTCTCTAAGTTCTTCTGGGGCTGGGGATATAGCTCAGTGGCATAAGTGCCTGCTTGGCAAACGCAAGGTCCTGAGTTTGATTCCTGGTACCAAAAACAAATTCTTCTGATAATTGTGATGCACAGAAAGCCATTAAGCACTGCATTGGGGTACCGTCTCTACACTTAAGGTAAACTCATGTGTCTCCCTCTGATTCAGTGCATGGAATATCTCACCATGTCTCCTGACTCCATAAGACTTACCATGTCTTAAGACATCATGACTTTTTTCTTCTGTTTCTACTCTCTAACATTCTCCACCCCATTTGCTTGCTGCTGACCTGTGGTCACAAACAGTCTTTTCAGCTTCCTCTGAGTTTGGGCCTTAGATAGCACAGGAGACTGGCACATGAAAAGTGAGGTGGGAGAATTTATCTTCCTTGTTCTATCATGACTGTGGGCTTAAAGTCATGCTCATCTTGGGCTGACTACACAGCTCTCCTCCTTGGGCTTCCATCAGCAAACCCTTACATTGCCCAAACTGCAACTAGCTCACATTTGTACCTGTGTTCCTTCTTATTGCTACTGTGACAGAGTCACAAATGTAATTCTTTCACACCACACAAAATTATTGTTGCACAGTTCAGGAAAATGAATCTAAATGTGTCTCCCTGAGCTAATTACCCAGCAAGGGTAGTTCCTGCAGGCTGCTTCTGTCTTTTCCAGTCTCTGGCATCCAGCTTCATCCCCAGAGGGCAGATCCTCCATCTTCGAAGGTATCAAGGCAGTATCTTCTCTCCACTCTGATGCCTGCCACTATCATCAAACGTCCTTCTCTGACTTTGCTGTCCTTATGATTATATTGATCTCACATGGCTAATCTAGATAATCTCCCCATCTTATAATCATTAGATGTGGAGACTGCTGAGGTGTTAGAGGAAGCATGGGATAAGTGGCTAGAGAGTATAAACCTGTGTTCTATCCCTGGCTCTGTCACAAACCCGAGTCTTTGAAGCACCAACTTCTGGAACTGTAGAATTGGTGGCCTCCATGCCCCAGTTGCTTGGTACACCTTGAATGCATTTCCCTAGGACTGCTGCAGAACACTGGAGTAAGCATGCAGTTGTGCTGGATGCCTTCAAATCTATGGTCCATACCAGCGTGCTCTAAATCCCACTCTCTGCTTGTAGCTCTTCCTGTAGCACCATCCTGTAGCACCACCCATATTTCCTACTGCCTACATGTAGTATCCAGAGAGACACCCCTCCCTGTGGGTGCACAGGCCAATCCAATTTGAAGTCTAACTCAGATAACTCTCTAAGTGACCACAGGCTCAAGGAAGTAACCTCAGGTTGCCTGTATGGCTATGGCTATTCCTCATTCTCCTCTCCCCTTCTGAGCACTAGACTATCGCCAGATTTCCCCTTTCCTTTCCCTTCATGATACCAACATATCATCTTCTTTTCTCCAGCTTCCCAGTGACTCAGTCAACAATTATGGACTATATGTGACTATGTGCTGGGATTTAATATTAGTTGAGAACACTGAAGATTTCTGTCCTCAGGCAGCAGACATCCTTGTGGGGGAGACATGAATGGCATCCTCAGCACATGGGGCATTGTCATTACCTTATGACTCAGATGGTATAAGGTAAGGACTCCATTCAAATGGAAGCACTGCACACACAGCAACGTGACCTAAACTTGGGCTCTAGAAAGGATTCTTCAAGAAATGAAACTGGAATAGAGGTATGAACACCAAGTGGGCATTCATAAGGCTGAAGTTCAGCTTATACAACAGTCCTAAGGCAAGGGGGATCATGATCACCTGAGGACTGTAAAAGACCCAGCCAAGTGTCTGGGAGCACAGAACCTGAGAGAGTAGAAGAAAAAGGAGCTGCAGAGATGGGCAGACTCTCATAAGGAGACTGGGCTTAAAGCAGAATTGGGATGCAGTGTACATATATATTATTGACATTTTGAAAAGATCATCTGTGCTGCAGGGGATAGACTAAACTGTAGGAATTTCAAGAGATTTGGGAATAGAAATGTATAGAGCTAGCCCAGGCTTAGAAAAACAAGACAGAAACAGACAACTCATATCTGGGCTGAGCAATATGTAGGATGATTCATAATAGTAGCAAAAGGAACTTGGGGATGCAAGGAAGAGGCTTTATGAAGTTTGGGAGATGACATCTAACTTGAAAATACTGAGGATCAGATAATGCCTGAATAAATAATTTGACTTGACAGTCAGACTTATTATTTTGGAAGCTCACAGAAGTGTGAATTGGAGATGAAAATTATTCATTTATTTATTGGTGGGTTTTTTGTTTTTGTTTTACTTTGTTTTTGAGATTGTGTCATGCTATGTAGTTCAGGCTGACCATGAACTCATTAGGTAGCCCAGGTGCCCACAAACAGGCAACCCATCTGCTGCAGCTCCTCATGTGCTGGGATTACAGGTATGCACCACCATACTCCACATGGATTACAAATTTAGAAGTTTGGAGCATGAAAAGGATAAATGGTTAGAAAGTACTACTTCTCTAAAGCTGTCTTGTCCCTAGCTTACACAGCCTCACATGGAATCAGAACTAGGGTGCTATAACAGGGACCAAGGGCTACAGCACACAGCACCCCTACTCTATACTTTCATCATAAATAATGCTATCACATAGCTCCATGGGAAAACAGTATGTCCCTGTCAGGCCTGGACTGACACAGCCTTCCAAACCCCAGTATCTCTTCACTGAGAGAATCTTATCCATAAACTGTAGCACTATGAGAGTCCACTACCAGCACAGGGATGGCTGTGGAATGCAGTCTGTCTTGGTTACTTTTCTCTCCTCGCTGAGACAAAATACCCGAAGCCCAAAATTAAGGAAGGAAGGGTTTATTTAGCTTACAGTTTGTGGAGGTTTCAGTACATATGTGGCTGGCTCCAAGGCAGAGTGAGTGGCACATAGCAGAGGGGAACAGTTCCTGGTGGCAGAAAATAGCAAAAGCAACAAGAGTAAAAGGGAGGAGTAGTGTCAAGCAGCCTCTTTCCCTCCCTTATGTTGTATGCAAACTCCGTCCCAGAGCGGTTGTAGCATTCACATCCATAATTCCAACACTGGACATAAACTCTAAAAGCCCACCCCATGACTGCCTGTAGCTTTGAGGGGACATCCAAACACAAACCATAACACAGTCCTTCTGCATCCTTCTGAAGGGCAAGTCTGACAAAGCCAAGTGCAGGAACACAACTATTGAGTGTATGACGTGATCATTATTAAACTCCTTCAGCCACCCAGAAGACAGGAGTCCATTCTGAAAAGCAAATGAGTACAGGGTCCTGGCCCAGGCTTAATTCTATACAATGATCATGAAAATAGGATTCATAAACACTGTTCACAAAGAATTTCTTTTCTAGCCCACAGATTGAACTCTCAAAGGTCATGTACTTGTGTATTAGTTTACCAAACAGTTCCTGAGTAAGGCACCATAAGAAAAGAGTCTTCCAGAAAATTAAAGTGGAATTAATCAGAAAATTAAAGTGGACAGTGCATGAGTAACCGTGTTACACAGCAGCACAGAATGAAAGGCAGGGGCACAACAGGATGAGGAAGATACTGTGCACCTCAGAATCCAGCCCTGCTCAGGTTACTTCAATCCTTATTTTCATAGATGTGGATTCTTACAGTTTTAAAAATAGCCAAAATTTTACTGGCCCACCCAATTAAATTCTCCACTTTTCCTTGCCAAATGAAAAGTCTTATTTTTAGTGTTATTTCATGAAAGGAAATAAAAGGGTAAGAAAAAATATCTCAAACGTGTTTTTAAAATTGTGTTCATTTAGATTTATCCAAACTTCCTCCTGTAGATTGCTTATGTTTCTTCTTAATTTGATGACAAGTGAAAAGATTTTAATGTGAACTGAGAACAGTCCGAACATGGTCCCCTGGGATGCCAGCACTGGTAACCTTGCTGGTAACTTTGCTGGTATTCTCTGTCTACCTCTTTCCTGGTTTCCTGTCTCGTTTGGAAAGAGTACATGCCCAGAAGCTACCTGTGACAGGGACAGGGAGATACTTTTTTGAGGATTCGAATGCCTGAAATGCCAGTATTCTCACCTCAAATTTGGCCAATCTATTGGTAAACAAGGGATTCTGTATTAGAAATAACTAACCCAGCCAGGCTTATCCCTGTGTTCCCAGCAACTCAGGAGCTGAGGCATGAGGATCACAAATTCAAAGCCAGTCTGGGCAACCTAAGAAGATGCTGCCCATAAAAAACAAAAAGAAAGAAAAAGTAAGAAAAAAAAAAAAAGAAAATCTGGGTCCTCAACATTTTAAAGGCATTACCCCATTACCTTTAACTCCATTCTGTTGCTTTTACAAATTGTAATGTCAGGCTGATGACTAGTTTGCTATGTGGTCTCTTTGTTTTCCCTGGAAGATTCTAACACCTTCTCTTGAGTGCATTTGTGCTTCATTATATATCCTGGCCTGGGCCTCTTTCAAGGAGTTTACGTCACTGAGCTGTATGGATTTATCCTAGGCTATATGCACTTACTCTCCCACACTCTCCTCCCACACCCACTTTTCTGTTTGGAAAGCTCTTTTGTCAGGTGTCAGCACTTCTGCACTATTTTTACCTTTTATCTTTACTCTCATATTTTTGACTGTTTAGCTGTAAGTTGTATGTGTTTTGCAAAATTTCTTAACTGCTGTCTTCTACTTCATCCTCAGAATTTTTGCTGTAGTTTTGAGCTCTTCTCCACCCTAGCCTTTCCTACCTATCTCTAACAGCATCTTCCCTTTAGGCACATGGAGGAGAAAGAGTAACTATATAAATGTTCAGTGGTGTTCCTGGGTCTTTCCTCTAAGGAATCTGACCTCCCCTTCAGTTAGGAAGTTCTGAGCTGTAAACTGGCCTTAATTAAGGAAATTGACTCAACGGCTGTGAATCAGCGGATTTTTTTTATTCCTCTTTTGTTTCCTTGATGTAAAATTCTGTGATTTTTCCAGATCAGATGGGAATTGATGAGGTTTCCCATGTTTTTCAGTACCACGTCTTACAGTTAAATTTCCTACATATCTCCTTTTTTTTTTTTTTTTTTTTTTTTTTTCAGACTTGTCAGAAATCTTGATAATTTTCCTTACTACTCCAGAAGGCTGATGGAAAAAATGTTACTCAGATCGGGACCCAGTGAGGGTCTCCTCTGCTCTGGCGGTAGAATCAGGTTCCACCGCAGCCTCGCGGC